ATCTAGTGAATACAATTAATATAAAATTTTTAACCAGTTTTCGTTTATAGAGATGCTAGGATTTTTATTTATACTATTTTGATTTTTGATTATTTCTATACTTTCTTTGAATTTTCTTTTATATGTATCTTTTTCTCTGTGTAAAATATCTATATTATTTTTGTCTATATTACAATTATTTAAAAGGCAGTGTTCATGAAAAGCAGAATTTGGTCTACGATATTTCAAATCAGCTATATGTTCTTTCAATCTTACTTTAACTTTACGTTTAGTTTCACCTATATAAATTTTTTTATTTTCGCATGTACACGGAATTTTATAGACTACATTTTTACTTTCTTCTTTCTTTGTTATATTTGTTTTGTTAACTTGTTAACAAAACAAATTGCATTTAATCTGGAGATTAGCTTATCGTATGTCGGTACTAGTTTTACATTAATTTTTTTGACTTCTTTATTAACTTCTTCGTATAGACCTCTTATATATGGGAAACGAATGTATTTTATTTCGGCTTGTTTAGGATTTATTCTTATTGTTTTATCTGTTTTTTTATCTATTTCTTTTTCCCAAATATTAAGGATTCTGTTTGGGTATCCTGAAAGAATAAATTTTTTCCTTTTTTTTTATTTTTTTCTTTTTTTTAGTGTATTTAAATGTTCGATTTGTTTATTATTTATACTAGTTTTATTTTTGATTTTAGTGATCTACAATACTTGTGTTTTTATATGTATGTTATAATCGGAAAAGTATTGAAATTGTGTCAAATTTGACCCTCCATGTTTCGTTTGCAAATCTACACTTTGGAGACCTCCCGAACCCCCCAAAAAGTCAATAAAAGAGGAAAAATTCGCGCGAGTGTGTGTGTTGGCGTCTAATTTGTTTAATTTTTTTATTTTCTGTTCTGAGATATTGTTTAATATCTCAGAACGGGTAAAGTTTAAGAAACGAAATGTGGCACTGTAGCTTGCGTATAAAGAGGCATTAATACTATTAAATTTTGGTCCTTAATTAAAGGTCGACAGGGTGAAGACATAAAAGGAGTCATGTGTCATATATCTTAATGAATATTTTACTCGTTACTAGCGTTCAAAATTTAAAAAATAAAAAGTAAAACTCGTCTCTAACCTCAAAGTTAGCTTTTTTATCATTTTATAATAGTACAGTAAAACCCGTTAAGATATTCTCGCCTACGATGTTAGAATGTGTATGGGGACATGATTTAGTTCAACCACTCTGACGGTTAATAACTAACTCCTGTGTTAAACCATCTGACTACAATTCTAACCACTCTGACTGCAGAAATTATTAGGCTTCAAACAGGGTGAACAAAATCATGCCCCACACACACAGTCTAACATCCATACATATAGAAAAAAAACTCGAATCTTTTCCATATCTCGAAATTTCAAGGTGTCCTAAGTCCAAAAATGTAAAAATTTGGGAGGGGTCATTTTTTGGCCGATTGTTACACTCTCCCTCTGTTATATATAACAGCCGGAAAAGTAAAAATTATCGAATACATATTTATATATTGACTGTTCATTACTTAGAGGAGTCTTTTAGCATTGGAATAAAAAGTTTCTACGTTCTATAATATAGTTTCTATTTATTGAACCTTTTATTCTGAGGTCACGTAATGACATCAGAATTTCCGGATCTCTTTCGGTAACAAGTCCGCCCCTAGTCGGAGTCGGTAAATTTTTTAGCGACTCCACAGCCCTGATATATACAAATTTGCAAAAACAATAATGGTGTACTACCACAGTTCACTCTTGTGTTACAATGGAACAGAGACAACTGAATACACTGAAAAGCGACAACACTACACTAGTACACACTACAGCGTTGCTGAATCGTTGTCTCGCTGCACCAGAAGTGACACAAAGCGCAACTCACGAAACCTATGACACAAAGCGTGCTATTTTAAAACTCTTACAAATTATTTTCAATATTTTGCATTAAAATCTCGCGACCCCAAGATTTCGCTAAGCGACCCCAAATGGGGTCGCGACCCATAGTTTAAGAAGCCCTGGTTTATAGCATAGTTTATATGAATTATTCCCAAAAAATTATACGTATTTTGGAAATGTTGAGTCGAATTAGTCTAGAATCGATAAATTTTATGGAAGAAACCTTTCAAACAGCCGTAGTTCGTAAACTGCATACGTGCCGGGCTGTGATTGGCTGGACTCCTAGAAGCTGGATTCATAAAGCTCGGAACGTATCTACCGTGTTATAGGGGGTCGACTGTATAGTAATTTTAATCTTTCAAACGAGTTTTAATGTTCGATATATAATTTTAAAAATCGGTTTATACAAATTATACAAATATGTTAATTGCTAGAAAACAAAATATTTGTGAAAATAGAGAAATTCTCATTAATTAAAGTATAGAGTATAGCAGTGTGTATTTCATATGGAATATAATGTGTATATAAACCATAGCGGGGAATAACAATTTAATGTATTTATTAATTCCCATTTTGCTTTAATAGTTCGATTGGATTTGGACTGAACGAAAATTAACAGTAAAAAGGGTGAAAAGTATCTTCTAAAATAAGTGAAAAGATCCCATTCATCGTCTCTGTGACCAAACTGATCAATTGTTATCTAAATGGAGCTTTATCGGAAAATCGTTGCCATTAATTGTGATATTCGGTTTAACAATATTCAAAAATACCCAAATTTTCTCTTTTTTATTTACTAATCTATTAATGAAATTAAACTTTTGTTAAACTTGTTTTGTTAAACGAATTTTACAGATAAAAGCTTATACATGGTAAGAACTAGGAAGCGAGTTCTTATTATGTATAAGCTCTGAAATATACGAGAAAGATAATGAGATCTATTGAGTGACTAAACAATTCTCTTGAGAATGACTTCTTTTTTTATTTAAAACGAATTAAAAACTTCATTCTAGACGTGTTAAGCCATGTGTTAGACAAAAGAGGAAAGGAAATACACTGCCAATACGATTTTAATCCAAGTTGTCTCCCGCTCCTGACAACACGTCCTGACAACGGGTTGAAACACGTCGAATAGCTTACTGCTGTTACTGATAAATTTTGAAATAAATAGATTCCTAATTACAATGATACATAGGTCTGTTATATGAAATACAGTATTTCATTTTCGTAATATCTGGAGTAAAAAATTAGAAAAATGCGAATATTGTAGTCTCAAATGTGGCAGAACGATTGACATTAAAATTATTCAATTAAACTATAATTTGTTGTTTTTTTTTCATTTGAAACACATGTTTTTATATGTGGATACCTGAAATTTGAACTTAATTGATTTCTTCAAACATATGAAACGATGATATTAAAAACTATGTTTGCAACATTAAATATATTTTAATATACGGTTTGCCGAATATAAAAATTCTTAATTAATGTTTTAATAATGAATTGAATAATTTACATATTACAATATGAAAAACTTTCACATTAAGATTACATATAATGTTTATATTGGAATCTCAGTGAGCTGTATGACGGGGAAATATCTTAAAACTGGTAAAAATTTAAAGAAAAATTATGAAATCTTAATGTTATTTTTTAATTTTTTTTTCTCTAGAAATATAATTGGAAAAATTGGCTTCTATAATTTTAGTAATATTTTACTGTTGTTATTTATCAGGAAATATATATATCGCCATTTAATTCATAAAGTAGTCCAAAATATTCACAGAATATCATAGAATGAAGTCTAATGCAAAGTTTTCGGATTTTTTGCACAATCTGTTCTACAAACTTGTATTTTATAATTTATTTTCAGATCGATAGTAGTTTTTACCAATTAAAACTATAAAATCGTATGATAATAACATGGGAGAATGTCCATCTTTGGAATATTTAACTATATTTGATTGCCTAATTTAAAGTAAAGCCTGTGATTACCTAGAAATGCGTAATNTAATTTTTTAAATGCATTACCTTCTGTAAAAATAAGTAAACTTAATTATTTTAAAAAAAATAGATATGTTTAAAATTGTATTTCTCACAATATCGTTACTTGACCTTTCACTTTATCGAGTTGCTGTCTCTTTATTCTAATAAATATACTTTATTATTTTCTTTAAAATTTTGAAATTATCGATGTAATGTACAATAAGTAAAGAAATTTCGTATCGATAGTGATATTCCTTAGTAAATCTTTACTTTTGTAAGATATAGTATAATGTAATAAGTATTCAATTCAATTTACTTTAATTAAACTAGTCGTTTATTACAACTAGTATAGTTTAAGTTAGAGTTTATTTTATTATTTCCATATAAGAATAGATTTTAGTATTATTTAATAATAAACCTTCGTTTTAATGCGTAAAATACAAGTATAGGATATATTTCAAATGTGACTGATCGCGTTAAAGAAGTATGACCTGTATGATATTTGTTACTATGTATGGTAAGGATCATTTCTCTTTCCTCCTCTTGTCACATTATGACATATTCTGAACTTCTCCCACCCCTCAACAGGCTGACATCACTTATAAACAGCCTTCATCTTTCAGTTATCTAAGGAGTCACTTTGAGGATTTAATCCACCTGGAATTAAAGATGATTCTAATCGAGTTTATGTATAAACTCATGATGTTTATACAAAACGATGTTTAAATTAGTTTGTCATTTAAAATCTCCTTAAAATGTAAATTTCATGCAAATTTTCAGGAAATTTGGCTGAATATAAAAATAAATAACATTACTAAGCACCAATGTTTAAAGAATATTTAAATAAGCCGACGGTCATCAAAATTTTCGATTTTTCTATGTATAAATATTGTACAGTACCTATTTTTAAAATAAATAATAAATATGAAAAGCTTTGTTACTGTTTTGAGCATACCAATCCTAGCACAATTCGTTAGATATACAGTATTTGTAATGGCTTAGGATTTTATAAACATGTTGACAATTTTGATAAATGAGAATAAAGATTTCTTACCACAAATATTTTCTACCATTTCCTCGAATTTTTCATATCGACATGTTACGGAAGAAATGAGTGTAAAAATAAGCAGTAAGATTGTCTTCATGTTTTTTTCTGGATTAATAACTGAAAAGAAAAAAACAATATTTTAAATAATTAATTTGTTTATCGAATAATTATTCACTGCAAAATGAAACAAAATAATATGAAATAATACATTACGCATAACATATGCTTTTTTCAATTTACAAATATATAATAAAAAAATTTATGTAATACAATATTTGTTAGACAATACATACCGAACTTATTTTCATACACTGTTCATTAGTCAAATAGTATTCTATTGTTATTTTTTAAAGAGAGAAAAGCGAGTAGTCTGTATCATACGATAGAAATTAAACCGTTTCTTGACTTTACTTAAAGAACTTCTCCATTTTCCAAAATAGTTATCTAATACAAAGATATATATTTAACGAGTAATGCCGGACTGAAATTTTTAATCATATTTTTAAATTTAAAATATATGCTCTCCACCTCAAATCAATAGTGTCTTGCCCCTGTACATCATACTTTTCCGTAAGTAAAAGAGTCGTGCCGGTCATCTATCTAACTCCTTTCAGGGGAAACTTTTTAATTGAAATAAAGTTTGCATCGGAAGTTCATATATAGGGACCGCCTGCCCTAAGCTTTCCGTATCTGGTCTCTCCTTTTGTATATCTAACCATGTTCTCAAAACTAAGGAAAGACAGACGGAGAGATGGGCAGATGAAGACAGTGGGAATTTATAAGTCTTCGATTTTTTCAAATTACAACTCAATAATTCAATTACAAGTTAAGTAATGAATAAAATCAAAAATAATAACAGAAAATCTACGATAGTTTATCTAAAACAATCAATATTCAAGAGGTTTAAAAGTGCTAATTATTCAGATATAAGATTGTTACTGTACTAGCTTGTACAATAGGAAAAAAATTGTTAGACTCTTTTCAACAGGAATTTAACCATCTTTCGAATGAAACATTAATATTTACATTCGAACATAAAACTACATATTCATCTGGTTTATTTCAATTTTAATAATATATGATATATGATTACATTCACTTACAAACAATAAATAAGAATCTAAGCTATAAACATATCATATATCATATAAAACTGAAGTAAATTAGATAAATATGCAGTTTTATATTTGAATGTAATACGACCTTGGTAACGGTTAAAAGTTTATTTAACAGCAAAGCAAAATCATAAAAAACAACAATAAAAATAACAATATTAATAAAAATGAATAATAATATAGTCATCTTTATATAACATAACTATATAATTAAATATGTAGTCATCACATAATCATTTGATAACGTTAAACTACGACAAAGAAAACCAGGTTTAATATTTTTTAGCATTGTTGCCCTTTTCTTTTGGAACTTTTTGGTTTAAATCTGTATTTACAGATTTTTAAAGAAATTTTAAACGTCAGTAAACCTGTACAGTACGTTAGTCAAAATCCTTTTAATTAGTAGCATCGAGAAACCGATGTTATTAGTTAAAAGTAATTATAACGAACCTCTTTTACTTTTAAAATTAGTTTAGTTTTACTTTTATAGTTTTAGTTTTGTTTACTTCATTTTTGCCCAAGAAGATTCGGAATTTTACTGATTTTGAATTTTATTCTTTAGCATATAACTTTCTGTAAAAATAATATACAATCAAATTATTTATATCTTATATTAAAGGAAACTAATAACACTACATGTTTTTTAGTTCTAACACTTTTTAACTTCATAGAAATAACATTATCTGTATAGTAGCGAGTTGTCTTATCGGAAAAAAGGCTAATTGCCTGGAGCCACCATCAACATAAGGCCCCAAACAAGTCTTTTATAATATATATATATATATATATATANTAGTTGTTTTTACCAATTAAAACTATAAAATCGTATGATAATAACATGGGAGAATGTCCATCTTTGGAATATTTAACTATATTTGATTGCCTAATTTAAAGTAAAGCCTGTGATTACCTAGAAATGCGTAATTATAATTGTCTTCACTCTTATAATTATTTTTCAAGCGATAAAATAGATGAAATTTTAATTCATAAATTGTTACAAAACATTTGTGTCCTTAAAACAAATGTAGAGCCATCACAAACCTTTATTCACAAGTAATCATTCTATATGGACTTCTGTGTTTATTTATCTAGATGGATACACATGTGTGAATTTCCGGCAAAAGTTTTTACGCTCGTTTTTACGCAAATGAAGTCTCGTCATTAATCATGTTTTAACATTATGAAAATTAGTTTTCACAATTACAGTAGAGCCTCGATTATCCGACCCCCTATCAACCGACCCCTCGGTTAATCGACCGTCCTAGTCGGCAATTTTCAAATGTCCGCTATTGATGTGGCGCTACAATATTTGGCTATGTCTGGCTGCTTTAATATTATTTTTACGTGTTTTAGCTGGCAACACTGGATCGACCATGAAAGGGAGCCAGTATTTAAATGAGGCTTAACTTTCTAATTTTTAACGATACAATAGCGATGATTATTATTTTAAAAAGTTTTTGTTAGGCTTAACATCGATGAAAATTCAACGCGAAGTAGGTTAATAGCGATATACTAATATACTAATTACATGGGATATAATAATATACTACACTAATAATAGATTTTTTCATACTTTTCGGTTATCTGCCCTTTCAATTATCCGACCAACCCCAGTCCNTATATATATATATATATATATATACATATAATTCCCCGAAACAATTATTTCCTCGAAAAAAAATATCTGAAATCAACACTGTATATGGGATTTCTAATTCAAATTCGCCTGGGCCTCATTTAAATCCACGGTAAATCTCTCAACATTAATATTTTTTCAGGTTTCGTTAAATATCACTATAGAAGAATTTGATTGCATACGTATATTCTTCTGTAATGATCACTAAAACCGCAAGCCAAGAGCCGTTCTCAAAATACATATTTTTCGGCGAATACAGTTCTCAAATACTTCTTCAACTTCTAATTTTATAACATCTACAGTTCGTAATTGAATTATAGAAGATAAAAATGTAAATGCCAAACGACTTCGCAGATTATTCATTAGAAAATGTAAATGTGTACTTTTTAGTTATATCGCATCATCTAACATACCATTCATTTGGTGTGTCTTCCGACCTGTGCGCTATATAAAAAAAAAACTACTGTATTACGAGTAATATTAAAAAATAATTTACAGAATTTCGTGATTTATATTATTTTTGTTAATTAAATATTACGACAATGTCTCTACTTCACTGGTAGAAACGCAAGTTATATGAGCGACTTTTCGCTCAAATAACTTGCATTTTAAAAACGTAAAATTATGAACAATTGAAAATTTGATCTCCATTTGAGAATAATTTAAAAATTAAATAAAAAATGTAATATAAACAATCACCTACAATCTATATTGTAAAAATAAATAAGATATAATTTGTAAGAAAATGTTTTTTAAAATCCCTCTTAAAATCTCCAGCGTGTGGACTTGCATAAGAAAATGCATAATTTTTAAAAAATTAAAATTTTCCTTATTAAAATTGTTCGTTAAAACCAAAAATATTACTTACATTCACCAGTCAATATAGTAAAATGCACTCAAAAGTCTAAGCGAATTGTATCACAATATATAAGATGGATCTGGATCTAGTTTAGGGATCATTTCGTAATTATCCTTAACAATTAAATTTAAAATTAAAAAATAAACACAGTGATAAATGTTTCTGAAAAAATATATTGATTTAAAAACAATGTCATATAAGTTTACCTATTATTGTATTTTTATATTTATGTTTTGTTTATTTCACTAATAAATCTTTACACTTTAAAATTAATCAAATTAAAATTATGAAAATAATTAATAATAAACTAGATCAGCAAAAATTCTACATAATAAATGAACAAACCTATAAATACTTATTGTATAACAACATTTTAAATCAATTTATTTTGAAATCAAATATTTAATTTATAATTTTAAAATTACTATACTTTTAAAGAAAATGATAAGCTAATTAACTAATTTTTATTTTAAAATTTAAATTGCATAAAGAGTAATTATAAAATCTAATTTTAGAGATAACGTTGGTAAATTCGCGATAAAATTAATTATCAGACACGTATTTTCTAAATGGGCATGTGAACTATACTATTAAAAGGTAACATTTTCTCAAGATAACAACATGGCATTTAGTCATTATGAATATATTAGTTTTCTAGAAGTATAGATTTTATGTTGCGTACACGTGGTTATTTCGTGATAATACATCGCTAATTTCATTAGAGGGTCCTTTAGCCTGTATCTTCTTAATGCAATATCAGGTCATCCTGACGTCGGCAAGCACCTGGCGCAGGTTAATTAGTGATTAGTTTGAATTTCCGTCGGATGAATAAATTATTTTTTCACAAATTAAAGACAAAGTCTACATTTGTCTCAGCGCTAATCCTCGGTAGATAAAAGGAGCCAGAAACCCAACTGGACAAGGATGAACTAACAAGACGTCGCAAGATTTACCATTCCAATTTTAAAGAAGAATTTTTTAATCTTTATTGGTTTTTGTGTTTTTTAAAGAACTTTTTTAAATGTAGGCAGTGGTGTAGCCTAAAAAGGAAGGTCCACCTGTCTATAATTTGTTCTAGAACACTACGTAAAAATGGTGATCGTCTAAAATATATTTTTAGAGCGACTTTCTCTTTAATTTGTGAAAAAATAGTGATTAGTCTTGCGCCAAATGAGTCTTGGTGAAATTAGTACCGGAATGGTTCCCCGTTGCCTGCTCTGAACAGTGGTGTTCCGCGATGGAAATAATGCCTCTCGGGAGGTCTTTTAAAGGAAACTGACCCCTATTCAGGCATTGCAGACGTGGAAAAACCCTAAAACTCCACGTGGCCAGCCCGTCCGAGCAAGGCTCGAACCCACGACAGAACTCCCAGTGAACTTCAATGAACGGAACAGCTTGGCCACTGGTGGGCCTTAACCTATATATTTAACTGTAATTTGAAAAAAGGATTGCATACATATAAATAAGTGCGCATCTGCGACAAAAATTTGAAATCTTATCTTACTTATTTGTTAAAGATAAATTTAAAAAGTATCTGGTGACTGCATTTCTAAGAAACAACCACAATTTTCTACGTGGTAGGAGCCATAAATTCGAGGACGGCTTGTAGTTCGTTGCTTTGAATAGTTTAAAACACCTTCGAAGTAATCCTCTTTGTCAACGATACACTGTTTTCCAGTGATGGTACAGCTTGTGGAAGGTTTACTGTAAGCCATCTTTTTAACTACATGTTTCCTGTGATGCGGTTTTTACCTCATTTGATAACTGAAAACGGCCTGAGGTCGTTTCCGTATCTTTGAGTCATCATGTCCTTCATATGTTAAATATTATTTAACACGAATAGGCGTAGTATTTTTATATACAAATTGCTTTTTGTAATTGTATTTTCGAGGATTTTTCCACTAATGTTAAAAACGTATTTTTAAAATGNTTTAATTATAACACAAAGTTTTATCTAATTTTTATTTTAAAATTTAAATTGCATAAAGAGTAATTATAAAATCTAATTTTAGAGATAACGTTGGTAAATTCGCGATAAAATTAATTATCAGACACGTATTTTCTAAATGGGCATGTGAACTATACTATTAAAAGGTAACATTTTCTCAAGATAACAACATGGCATTTAGTCATTATGAATATATTAGTTTTCTAGAAGTATAGATTTTATGTTGCGTACACGTGGTTATTTCGTGATAATACATCGCTAATTTCATTAGAGGGTCCTTTAGCCTGTATCTTCTTAATGCAATATCAGGTCATCCTGACGTCGGCAAGCACCTGGCGCAGGTTAATTAGTGATTAGTTTGAATTTCCGTCGGATGAATAAATTATTTTTTCACAAATTAAAGACAAAGTCTACATTTGTCTCAGCGCTAATCCTCGGTAGATAAAAGGAGCCAGAAACCCAACTGGACAAGGATGAACTAACAAGACGTCGCAAGATTTACCATTCCAATTTTAAAGAAGAATTTTTTAATCTTTATTGGTTTTTGTGTTTTTTAAAGAACTTTTTTAAANTCTAACTTACCCCCTTCTTAATATTTTTACATAAATAGTCAAGAAGGAAATGATCCCCGAAAAAAAACTTGAAAGTTAGGGCTTTTGCATGCAGCTGATTTTATTAAATAGAAATTTGAAATTAATTTTCTTTAATTAAATTTTTATAACTGATTAATGACAATATTTACACACCTCTGCAGATAATTCCGGTGACATATTTTCTTTGAGACAATTTGTATAATGTTCTTTATTCTTATCTGTCAATGCTTGAAATAGATAAGTATATAAAGTTATAAAAATTATATTAACTCTGAGTCCAGAGTACAACTTTTAATGAAATTTTAATTACTTTTAGAGTCTTCACTGCTACAGTCATGTTATATCTTTTCCACACAGCTTCATAAACATCACCATATTGACCACCACCTAACNGTCAGCGCTAATCCTCGGTAGATAAAAGGAGCCAGAAACCCAACTGGACAAGGATGAACTAACAAGACGTCGCAAGATTTACCATTCCAATTTTAAAGAAGAATTTTTTAATCTTTATTGGTTTTTGTGTTTTTTAAAGAACTTTTTTAAATGTAGGCAGTGGTGTAGCCTAAAAAGGAAGGTCCACCTGTCTATAATTTGTTCTAGAACACTACGTAAAAATGGTGATCGTCTAAAATATATTTTTAGAGCGACTTTCTCTTTAATTTGTGAAAAAATAGTGATTAGTCTTGCGCCAAATGAGTCTTGGTGAAATTAGTACCGGAATGGTTCCCCGTTGCCTGCTCTGAACAGTGGTGTTCCGCGATGGAAATAATGCCTCTCGGGAGGTCTTTTAAAGGAAACTGACCCCTATTCAGGCATTGCAGACGTGGAAAAACCCTAAAACTCCACGTGGCCAGCCCGTCCGAGCAAGGCTCGAACCCACGACAGAACTCCCAGTGAACTTCAATGAACGGAACAGCTTGGCCACTGGTGGGCCTTAACCTATATATTTAACTGTAATTTGAAAAAAGGATTGCATACATATAAATAAGTGCGCATCTGCGACAAAAATTTGAAATCTTATCTTACTTATTTGTTAAAGATAAATTTAAAAAGTATCTGGTGACTGCATTTCTAAGAAACAACCACAATTTTCTACGTGGTAGGAGCCATAAATTCGAGGACGGCTTGTAGTTCGTTGCTTTGAATAGTTTAAAACACCTTCGAAGTAATCCTCTTTGTCAACGATACACTGTTTTCCAGTGATGGTACAGCTTGTGGAAGGTTTACTGTAAGCCATCTTTTTAACTACATGTTTCCTGTGATGCGGTTTTTACCTCATTTGATAACTGAAAACGGCCTGAGGTCGTTTCCGTATCTTTGAGTCATCATGTCCTTCATATGTTAAATATTATTTAACACGAATAGGCGTAGTATTTTTATATACAAATTGCTTTTTGTAATTGTATTTTCGAGGATTTTTCCACTAATGTTAAAAACGTATTTTTAAAATGTACTCGCAAACCTCGGTTTAAATGATTTCATTTTTCATGCGAATGTTTTACTACAAACTTGCAACTTTTTAAAGTTATACTTTGCTCATTAAATTTGAATTTTTTTTGACTCATTATGAATCGTGTACATTTTTTTCTTTTTTCGTCATTTGTCATAACTGTTAGAAACATTATTATTAACTATAAATTAATCTAAACTTGCGCAAATTCAATAAATATCGAATCATTAAATTTCATATTAACTGTTTAAAAAGTTTTATTAAGTATAAAATTTATTTATGCTTCTAACACAATAAAGTGTTATAAATTAAGACAATTGGCGGGTTTTCTCATCTTTATTTAGTTGATACGTGTGAAAATTTTTACACGTTTCGGGCTCTTAAGCCCCTCTTCAGCCAACTAAAACATTAAAAAAGAATATAACATACATATAAAAACACAAGTATTGTAGAAATCATAAAAATATAAAACGTACCTTTCACTTACAAAACAGTTCTACAAAATCCCTGATATAAAACATATTCTGGACATAAACTTATTATATAACCAATATAAACTATAAAACATATTCTTGATATAAACATACACTGGACAACAACTATCAAATTGGTGTACAATTGATTATGCTTTCTACAAAATCCTTATTTCTTTTGATACACATTCACAATATAATACGAATTTACATAACTTCTACAATATAAATTTACATATCTGACATC